CATAGCTTACTTTTCTTAAATTTGAAGTACTGATTTTTATATATGTTCCACAGAATATTATTAAAAATACATGTTTCATGTTGACAGACTGTTTCTGTGAGCGGAAACTCCTCCCAGACGCTTTAAATTTCATAAAAAAATAACTGAACTTTTCTTATTTTTGAAGTCTTCAACTTTATATATGATGCTTAGGGGACTATATTAATACCTTTTGTGGACAGTCAGACCAATCCAATGGGCCAAATATTCTCCCAGTCACATTAAAAATTTTCTTAAACCTCTACAAACAATTACTTTTTTGCCTAAATGTACATGTAATACTATGACGAAAGTAGATATAAAAGTAATTAGACTGTAAGGGGAAGGGGTTGTCACCGTCCTAAGTGTCCGCCAATAGACGAGGCGGTTTCTAATATGATTGTTAGTTAAAATATATGAAAACTAAGTTTTATACTATCACAAATTTGAAACACAATTTTACTCACCTTTATTTATTTATTTATTTATTTATTGAGTCTTCCTGGAAACATATTGCATAAGGCGGACTTAATGCCTCAGGCATTTTCTTCCAGTCAAACCTTTGGGTGTTGCAAAGCTGTGTGTGGCAGGTGTATATTTGGGACAGGTAAAGATGAGTCTCATCTGGCAATGAAGCCATGTTACAATGGCAGAAAAGAACAAATCCTACAGATATATAAGTACTAGATATACATACATATAGTTTATACATATAAATATCATAATAAATGACAAAAAATATATACGAGTAATATATTATAATATATATGATAATAAATATACTCTTAGGGTGTTATTCTGATGACTCCGTCAACAAGTCTCTATAGAGCTTCCGTACTTTAAGCTTAAAAGTGTATCGGTTAGTGGACATCCTGATTTCTAGTGGGAGTGTGTTCCAAAGAGTTACAGCTTGAACAGGGAAGGAAGAATGGACCATACTGGAATTATGTGAAGGACAAAGAAGGAGAAGATTGTTGGAAGAGCGAAGAGTTCTGTCATGATTAGAGCAGAGCTATTGAAAGTGGGATTTCAAGTAGGTAGGTGAGTTAGATGAGTGGAGAAGAGAGTGTAACACAGTCAGAGCTCTCGAACTGCGGCGCTGTCTTATAGGTAACCATGACAGTTGCGTAAGCGGATATGTGATCATATTTTCGCAGGTTGAAAATGAATCGAATGCAATTGTTGAGAAGTCGGTCTAATTTATTGAGCAGATCTGCATTCAAGTCGAGATAACACACATCACCATAGTCGATAAGTGGAAAAATTAAACTCTGCACAAGCATCGTCTTTGTTTTTATTGGGAGGAAATTTTTAAGGCGATAGAATCCTCGTAAAATATTCGTAACCCTCTGACTGACACTAGTTACCTGAGTTTGCCAGTTCAGAGTAGCATCGATGTGCAGACCGAGATCCTTGACCGATGTACTAACAGGCAAAACGGTGTCATTAAAGATGATGCCAGTAATATTATCAAGATCAATTCTGCTTATCATTCTCGGACTTCCTATGATGATCGCTTGGCATTTTGATGGGTTCACCGTTAAACCGAACCTGCAGGACCAGTATTTTATGGTCTCTAAGTCTTGATTAATACTATTTACAGCTTCGTCCAAATTTTCTACTCTTGCATGTGAATAGATCTGCAAGTCGTCTGCATACAAGTGATACGAACACCGAAGTTCATGGGTTATGAGATCGATAAATAAAGAAAACAGAAGAGGAGAAAGAATACCGCCTTGTGGAACACCAGAGTCGAGTTCGGCCCATATCGATGAACATTCATCGGTTCGGACGGACTGCTGGCGTCCTCGAAGATAGAACGAGAACCATTCCAGTGCATCATCGGAAATCATGAAGTGGGTTAGTATTGCTAGTAGGATATCGTGACTCACAGTATTGAAGGCGTTCGAGAAGTCGATAAGGGCTAGTACAGTTATTTTGCCTTCCTCCACCGCCGCTTTGATATCGAGAGTCACTTTGAGCAACGCTGTCTCTGTACTGTGTCCCGGTCGAAATCCTGACTGATATGGGTTGAGCAAATTATTCCCGTAAATGAAGTTTGAAAGTTGCTTATGTACGCAGGCTTCTAGGACTTTGGAGAGAAATGGAAGTATGGATATTGGACGAAAGTGGGTAGGAAGAGAAGGGTTAGGTACTTTGGCTAATGGACGTACGTAAGCTTTGCGCCATAAGGATGGAAAGACATTGGAATCAAGGGAATAATTGATCACATGAGTAATGGCTGGTAAAAGCTGTTCCAGGATAGCGGTTACCATAAAACGGCTGATTTCATCACAACCAGTGGCGTTGGATTTGATGGACAGGATAAATTATTTGACCTCTTCTGGTGCAGCTGGAGAAAAATCAAAGGAGTTTACATTATGCCTAGGCAGACGGGCCACATAAGCCATGGTTTGAACTTTGCTTTGATGATCCAATGTAGTGGATGTGAGGAAATGGAGATTGATATCATCCAAAGCAATGTTCGTTGGAAAGTCTGCATAGCGTTCTCTACCAATGCCAAGAGTTCTTAGGAACTTCCAGATATCAGCAGAAGAAGATGAAGAGATACTATCGAGAATATGACGGCGTTTAGCGTTACGTATCACTTGATTACACTTATTTCTAGCAGTCTTATAGGCGAGCCAGCTATCATCACATCGAGTTTTCTTAAAACGCCGAAAAGCACGATCCCTATTCCGCATTACGTTGCGAACGCTATCCGTAAACCAAGGCGCAGGAGGATGCTTTAATTTGATTTTCTTCGCTGGCGCATGAATATTATAGAGGTGCAGGATGTTACTGTTCAAAATTTCGACCTTTTTGTCGATGGTGCCTGCTGCCGCTAAGGGTTCCCAGTTGATATGAGAAGCATCCTCCCGAAGTCTCTCCAAATCGATGCGTCCGAAACAGCGCCTATACATTATTTTTGTTTTAGGCTTTGGCGGCTTAATTTTGTACGTTATGAAAATCAGGTCGTGATGTGAGAAACCGGATACCAAGTATTGTCCATGAGAAGTAACCTTGGCAAGAGACGAAGTGATAATAAGGTCTAGCAGGGTATCTTCTCCGTTTAAGTTGTGGTGAGTGGCTTGAAGCGGTAGGATATGTAAACAAGTGGATTCTAATATATTTAATAGTTTACGAGAGCGAGAGGAGTTTGGAGACAATAGATCAGTGTTGAAGTCGCCCATGATGATGTGATGGTCATACTCGGACCCTAACGATTCTAAAACCGATACGAATTCGGTGAAGTAATCTTTACTACCTGTTACCTGCCAAAGTCACCGCGACCCAGGTTGTATATTCTGGGTTTGCATAAGCAGGGTTTGCATGTCCCCTATACAGGTATAAACCTGTATAGGGGACATAAATAGAAGAATTTTCAGCATTTGTAATATAACAAAAGTAAGAGCCCGTTCTTAATCCATTAGACAAATATGGAGAATAAAAGTTATAAAAAGTGCAGTAAAAAGTTACAATACCCTTTGAGTAACTCAAAATCAGAAATTGAGAGTGGGGTGAAAATTCTCAGTAATGTAAAAGTATGTCCACCGATTGCTCTGCCTGTTTTGGAAAATGAAGCCAAAGATGATTCTAATGATTCTGATTATGAAATTTTTCCTAATCCAAAAAGAAAACGAATACAAAGAGAACCTCGGATATACGTGAGTCCAATTACTAACAAAAAATTTGCTTTATTAGAGAACGCTCATGCCATCAATATTTTATCTCCGTCTCACTCATTACACAAAAAGGATAATAATATAGAAGAACGTGTACAATATAGTGCACATGTGGAGGAACGGGTGTCATGTCCCTCCAACACAAAGGGAGGATCCTCCGACCAGGCGAGGTGATCATGCCTGGCGGGCCGCGGCCCAACGGTTGATGTTGGGAAGTTGTATATATGCTAATCAGCGAGGGAATTCTGTATATCGCGATACAGGATTAGCAATTCTTATTTTAGTAGTTACTCCGTAGTTCGGTGTGTCTTCATTAGATGGCGCTGTAGTATGTTTCTGTTTCTTTGTATGTGGGAGTCGCCACATCACTCCCCTCCAAGACCGGAGATCGATATATGATGAGTCAGCTGTCTATGCCCTGTTGTGGAGCGTGCCAGAGCCAGTAGTGAGTAGTTCCAGTGAGTCGGAACTGAGTGCCGCTAGTTCCAGTGGGTCGGAACTAAGTGCCGCTAGCCCCAGGGAGTGGGGGCTGAAGTCCGCTGATCCCAGTGAGTCGGGATGGCGTGCGGTGCGCGGTGCTGCGGTGAAGACCCCAGTGAGTCGGGGCGGTTGCTGCGTAGTGGCTGGCTGCTGCTTAGACGGGAGAGAAAATGCTCTTCTTACGTGGACCGTAGGTGCAGTGTGCTGTGCCTAGACGCTGATGAGGCCGTAGAGGTAACCAGGCTGGAGCGGTCGCTACCTGCGTGTGGTATCCCTGTAGAGGCCGAGGTTGCTGGCTGGCTGAGACTTGATTACTGCTCATCGTTGTGGGAGTGTACACGATGGTACTGCTGATGATCTGCTCCTTTTGAAGGCTGCTTCCAATCACGTCGGGGTCACCAGTATATCACCATCACCGTGAATAGACAACATATTCTGTGTCGCGTTGTGTATATTGTGTGTCTCTTGCTTGTACTCCTTCTGTCTTTTAAATAGTATATCGTGTTGTTGTGTGTATAAATTATAACAGTAAGTGGATATTGACTTTTATTTATATTCACCCGTAAGTACATATACTACTCCACATAACTATACACACAACGACTTTGTACCTCTCAAAGACCTAAGTGTTACAGTGCCGTCTCCAGCTATACTGTTAACTCCAACTCAAAAACGTAATATTAACGTTTCTTCTCAAATATCTACCCCAGATTCAATAAGTCGTTTTTGCACATCAAACAGCAGATGTCCATCTTTAGACAACATTTCTTTAATGCCTTTAGATGAAACTGAAATTGTGAACACAAATAATTTACAATGCACGAATTTAATAGAAACAAATATGTTGAAAGAACTTTTACTTATACATTTGAGGAAGAAAACGAAGACACTGATATAATTGCTATCCAGAAAAATATCTCACAGAAAAGAACCAATAATGATGTAACTTTAAACACTAACAATAATAACATGATTACGATAGAAAATGGAATAAAAAATACTACCACAGAAGAAATGTTAGCTTTGCCGTTGAATAATAAGACACCAGAAAAAAGTTTTGACCTACAATTAATGATAAAAGAAAGAGGTTATATATCTGAATCTGTAAGTGAAGTTTCATTTAGTACTACTGACGAAGAAAATTTATCATTTGAAAAAAGCTCTTTATCATCGTCAGAAGATAGTGACGAATTGGAAGATGATGATGAATCGAGGATCGAAAGTGATTGGTTGCATTCACAAGAACAAGGCTTTGAAGAAGAACCATGGGTGGATATTACTGACGAAATACCAGATTTTGCAGAAAATACACTTGACTGTAAAATACTTTTACCTACAGACAATAAAACACCTATTGAAATATATGATTTATTTGTAACCGAAGAAATAATTAATAAAATGGTGAAAGAAACGAATGATTATGCAGAGAAGTACTTGGTTGATAACGCTCATACAATTAAACAAAAATCTCGTGTTAAACCGACCAATTTCGAAGAAATGCGTCAATTTTTTGGAGTAATTTTAATAATGAGCTTAAACAAAGTCCCTCATTTAAATGACTATTGGTCGCGGAAGTCTATTTATAGAAATGATTACATCTGTTCATTGTTTTCAAGAGACCGATTTTTGTTGATTCTTAAATTTTGGCATTTCAGTGAATTATCAGTAAAAGAAACCGATGATAAACTACATAAATTTCGTGGAATATATGAATCGTTTAATAGCCGTTTTCAATGTACCCTTGAACCAGGCAAATTAGTCGTTATAGATGAGACAATGATTCCTTGGCGAGGTCGCCTTAAATTTCAGCAGTACATTAAAAATAAATCCCACAAATACGGCGTGAAAATATATAAGCTATGTACTCCCGAGGGTTATACGTACAGAATGATTGTATATACAGGTAAAGAGGCTAACAAACGGGAGCAAGATCATGGCCTCAAAACAGTTATGAATTTAGTGGCTGGGCTGGAAGACGCAGGCCGAACAGTCGTTGCAGACAATTTCTACTCATCAATCAAACTTGCAGAACTGCTTTTAACACGTAAAACATTCTATTGTGGTACGTTAAGGTCTAATAGGAAAGGCGTGCCCAAAAAATTGTATGTACTAAAGTGAGAAAAGGTCAAGTTTATGGCAAGATGTCAGAAAGCGGAGTACGTATTATAAAATGGTGTGATAAGCGAGAGGTACTAATGCTTACTACTTGCAAAGATCACAAAGCTGAACTAATAAATACAGGAAAGCAGTCAAGATTAACCAATGAACCAATAAGAAAGCCTAAATGCGTATTAATGTACAACGAAAACAAAAAGGGCATTGATTACAGTGATCAGATGGCATCATATTACTCTGTCCTGAAGAGAGGTCTGAAGTGGTATAGGAAGGTTGTAATGGAGTTTTTGTTCGGTACTTCAGTTGTAAATGATTGGCTCATTTATAATGTCAAGCCCTAAGAAAATATATTATATATATATTTTTGTTATTTCAGCAATCGGAAGGTCGTGGGTTCGAGTCCCACTACGACACAATCGCGCGTTTAAATTTTTCTAGATTTTTCTATGTAAGTTGTAACGCAACCAAAATCTGGGTACGAATGAGATAAGTCGTCCTTAGATTGTTCAACTACTACCCATTACATATATTTTTAGTAGGATATGAAATTGTAATGGTTTCAGGTTTGATTCATATCGGGAGACATGTAATTGATTTTTTTCAATTTTATGTTAAAACATTTTACTGGAGGAATCAAAGAGGTAGATAAATAGATTAATACTGTTATTTATCAATTGGCTGCTCTACTTACCACGCTATCATTTTATTTATAAGCACATGCACTAATTCTATTTTTTCGCATATTGCAAACCATAGCTATAAGCTTTTGTTTTTTTTCGTTTCATTTAGATCGTTCTACGTAAAATAATTTAAATACCATGCAATGCACAAATTTTCTGCACTTAACTGCAACTGCTGCTTATGAATTATGCCCGTTCTAAAACTACCTATGCTATATATTTTCTCTATTTTTGGAATCTAATTCAAGATCTTTTTAAAGCACTTTTTTTCAAAAATATTGCATGCGCAGTTTTTGATGTTTTGATCACTATTGGCTGTATTAGTTTTATTGTTGTGGGGGCGTTTATTTACTAGGTCAATGACTTGTTTTTATTTTAAAAGCTTAAAGCACGATTTTGGGTCTCTTAAAATTACTTCTGCACGTCCACGAGCGGTTACATTTAAGTACTTAGAATGAGAAATGTTTTCAATTTACAGGTAATAATGAACCAAACCATTCAGAGTCTCAGCACATCCTTGCAAAGGGTCAAATAAGGAAACGTTGCGTCATTTGCTATGCAAAATTACGACTTACATTAGGTGCCATGCAGGCTGCAAAGAAAGTAAAAAAAATTATGACTAATTGTTCACAATGTAAGAAAGCTATGTGCTTGCATTGTTTTAACGAACAGCATGCAAAGTAATATAGAATAAATTAGATGAACGAATAGTTTGTATTTTATTTAACAAAACCCCATACTTTTATGCACAATACTATAACAATATAAAAAAGTAATAGAAATATAACATAGACATGGACATTCATCGATATAAATTCATTCCCATCACTAATGCCGCCCCGATTTAGTGCGATGTGTGGTCTAAAACGACCTCAAATATATTTTAGGTGTTTTCTCTAAAACTAAAAATCAGAACCCGGGGCGAAGCTAGGTGTAGATAAAACAATACCATGCAAGTAATTTTAGCATAAAATTAAACATCGAATCACGCTCCTGATCAACTTACAACACATTTAGCAAATGATTGAAACATGAGGCAGAAAAGGCCTCAACCGAATTACAAGGAAGTTTAGCTTGGGGCTGATTCGACCTCAGCCGCACCAGCTGAAAGTTCTTCAAAATGTGGCCCGCAGTGAACGTGTTAACTAGTAAGGATTTAGAATGGGAAGTTGTTGGTTGGTCTGAAAATGAAATCGTTGGTTCAGAATACGACGTTGGAGAAGGTGACGGACGGTTTAGATAAGGGGATGTATTCGCTGAAGGTTCAGTGTAGGATGTTTGGGAAGTTGACGGCCGTTTTACCCTTGGTGAAGCAATTTGCATTTGGTATGGGACTGAGTGATAGGAAGATAGGGTTCGACGCATCTGTTTCTCCTTAATTCTATTAACAAATAAAGTATCTATGTCATACATCATCAGTTTTCTGTCATGAGCCGCTCCGCTATATCGGTAGCAGGATGACGACGGGATGTCAGTGGTTTTGGTGTTTGCGAAATTGATGGCTGCCCCAAATCGCTATCTTCTACGTCTTTTTCTTCTTCCGCTAAAGCTGCACTTTCAATCAGGATTTCTTGTGATGAAACTTCCTAAAAAATATTTAAATGTTTTAATATTACTTTAGTTTGTTATCGACAAATCTCACATTGTTTCAATTTTTATTTCAAATGCCATCGACAAAAGACGCTTGGATGAATATTGAAAGAGTTCTGTAGTTATGTAATAGTTCTGTAGATGGCAAACATATTCTTATAGAAAGTCCACCTCATAGCGGAAAGGAGTATTTCAACTATAAGAAAACCTTTAGCATCGTTCTTTTGGCGTTAGTTGATGCCAACTACAAATTTATTTTTGCAGATATAGGATGCCAAGGGAGGATCAGTGATGGTGGCGTTTTCAATAATTCATTACTATGGCAAAAGATCTGTAAAAATGAAATAGATTTTCCTACATCATGTAGACTTCCTGGATCGGACATTGATGTGCCGTACGTTTTCATAGGCGATGGTGCTTTTGCACTAAGTGAGCTTGTTATGAAACCCTACCTAGGACAGCATAACGTCGGTACACCAAAAAGGATATTCAATCAAAATTTATCAAAAGCGCGGGTGGTAGTAGAAAACACGTTTGGAATTTTAACATCAGTATTTCGAATTTATCGTCGCCCAATTGATTTAGATCCGAGTACTGTGACAGAAATTACAATGACTTGTGTGCTAATACACAACTTCCTTAGGAAAAACTCTCCAGAAGGATATACTCCTCCAGGAACGTTTGATGTAATTGATGGAAATGGCCAATTAATAACACCTGGATCTTGGCGAAGGTACGAAAGTGATTATAATGCAATTCAGAATGTACCACACATACCCCGTAGGTCACCTATGCACGCCAAACAGTTAAGAGAAGAATTCACTTCACTATGTAGTTTTGTAGAAGATCGACATAGCATATTACATTAATAATCGAAAATGTAAACCTTAGGTCCTTTTATTATGATTTGTATAATAATTTGTAAGTAGTAGTGACATACAAATTGTATATTACTTAGTTCATATTATTAGTTAGCAAACAAAGTATGTATATGTAAGAAGTCATCATCATCATCAACAGCCTATACTAGTCCACTGCTAGACATAGGCCTCTCCTTAGCGTAAGAAGTGGATCGGCCATAATTAAAAAATGAGTTTCTTTTCAAACTTCATAATATTTTATTCAACCAAATACAGAGAAACAGCAAATCACAGGACTAATAACAATTTGATATTAATTAATCATTAAACTAAACTATGTTATAAATTAACATTTCAAAAAACAAGCCTTAAATAATAGGGTATAATTAGTCCAGAAACCAAATTATAAGCCGGAATAATAATTAATTCGTCATCCAAAGCGTCTAAGTTAAGCTAGCAGCGAGATACAACTAGTGCACCGAGCCACGCCAGAGCCAAGACTGCCTTGAAAGCCTCTCTCGAGTCTTCACAACGTCCCGCAGGGGACGTGCAGTGGCTGGTTCGGGGCTTCGGCCCCCTGCCAGCGGTGTCTACCGCAGCCCCTAAATAGGGGCAGGTCCTGGGCTTGTAGCTTGATTGGTAGTCGGTTGTGTTGTGGAGGGGTTGCTTCAGTCTTCACGCCGCCCCGGCGGTCAAGCCCGAGCCAGGTAAGACCCCAGGCGATACCTGGGGAGGCCCAGCTCCGGGCGACCAGCGACAGGGGCGGCGACTTACGTGTAACCCCTCTGGTGTTTAGTCCGGGAGTGGCGCCTCGCACCGCTGTGCGGTCTGCGGGGCGCTGTCAGTTTGAAACTCGAAGTAATTTGAAGCAAATGTTAGCTAGTCAGTTCAAAATTAAAGACTTAGGAGAAATAAAGAAGTGTCTTGGTGTCAATGTAAATTTCAATAAATCAGAGCAAACCATGACATTAAGTCAAAAAGATTATATTGATCAGCTGTTGTATAAATTTAATATGAGTGAATGCAAACCTATACAGACTCCAATGGAGGTGAAATTAAATATATCTAATAATGAACATTGTATAGATAAGTTTCCATATCAGCAAATCATAGGAAGTTTAATGTATTTGGCTGTATTGACAAGACCTGATATTGTGTTTACAGTAGCTTTTTTAAGTCAATTTAATAACTGCTATTCCAAAGAGCATTGTTCCTATGTAAAGCGATTATTGAGATATTTGAAGTGTACTAGAAGTTATGGTTTGAAGTATTCAGCTGAAGGAAATTCAATATTAGAAGGTTTTGTAGATGCTGATTGGGGAGGTAATGTAATTGATAGGAGATCATACACTGGAATTTGTTTTACATTATCAGGTTGTGTAATATCATGGGAAACAAAGAAACAGAAAACTGTTGCGCTGTCTAGTAGTGAAGCCGAGTATATGGCAATAACAGAAGCTTGCAAAGAAGCAATTTATTTAAGAAATTTGTTGTATGAAATAACACAAAAATTGTATACTATTGATATTTTCAATGATAATCAAAGTGCGCAAAAGTTAACTGTTAATCCAGTTTTCCACAAAAGAACCAAACACATAGATATCAGATACCATTTTAGTAGAGAATGTGTAACTAATAAAATTGTGAATGTTAAATATTTGCCAACGGCTGAAATGCCTGCAGATTTGTTCACCAAGGGTTTATGTTCTGTTAAACATTATAAATTTTTAAATAGATTAGGTGTGCAAATTGTTTAATTTATCTTTGGCCATATTATTAGATATAGTGGGGGTGTTGAAATGTTAATATCTAAAATATGAGACTCGTACTGCCATCTAGTGTCTACAATGTGTATTACTGTTTACTTTGGAAAATAAAAGTCAGTCGTTTAACCGCCATTGAAAGAACCGTTGTTTTATTATATTACTAAGTTATAAATCTCAATCTTCATAAAAATAGCAAACGATCAACCACTAGGCTTTTACAAATAAATAAGTGACAATCACATCCGTACCGCTCGGCGTTACGACGTATACTGCGCCAGTTGAAACTTGTACCAACACAACCGCGTTCGCGTCCCGCGTATACTGGTATGGTGCAGTTGACTCAGTGTACTATTTGCAAAATAAATAATTTTGAATTCTTGACCCAGTATACGTCATTTTTTTCAGTCATTTATAGGGATATACATATATTTTTTTTTATTTTTCGAAATTTGTTAGTTGACTCAGTATACTTAGGAGCCGTCGATATGGTGCTAAGAAGGGGTTAAATTAGTTAATGTACATATGCGTTGTTTGAGGTTTACACATACAATATCGTTCCTTCTCTTGTCTAAGAACATAGGATTAAATAACTGTCGGACTGTTAATACTTTGCATTCCAGATAGAGTTGATGAGTAGGGAACCTAAATGTTCGACAGGTGGTTACGTTTAGTATTGCTCTTTGAGCACGTTCAAGTGGGATGTAATATTAAAAAAATAAAAAAAATGTTTTAATGCTAATGAATGGTAATGTGTGTCTATGTTCATATAAATGTATAAACTAACTGGTGCGGCACCACAAATTCTAACAAAACTAATAATCTCGGGCGCCAGGTGCCTTAACCTTAAATGAACACACAACTAATAACAAATACAATGAATACCTCGAACAGCTCAGTCAGCGGTTAGACCTTTAATCTAGGGTGGGGGGCAGCTATTAAATAAAGAGATGTTATAAGCTTAAGTGGCAGTTTATTATCCCGTAGTGTCTGTAGAGTACATGGTATATTATAGGTCTAATTACAAATGTAATTCTTATACTCAAATTAGTACCGTCATTAATGCAATCTGTTTACCTTGCTAATACAAATTAGAAATAAAATATCTTTAATAAGTCACATAAAGACTTTAATAAATAAGAAACTAAAGGTAGTTATCATAACGACCTACTCCCATAATAATAATAACACCCCTTAGAGCCTACAGTATCCGTTATGACAACGCCAACAAAATTAATACAACAAAAGAACGTACCAATGACTCCGGCACTGTCTGTTTGAAACTATGGTATAATTAACTCTTATAAAGCTCACTGTTGATCCCCACGTGGTTCGTCGAGGCGGGGTAAGTAATCCAAGCTTCCTGGTTCCGGTCCCAAGCGAATCCTGATAATTTTCTGCCATTAGAGGTACTTAGGAAAGGAAATCCACTCTCCGAAGCAAACTAAATCCTTGGATCAGGCAGGTAGTGAGGTAAAAACCAATTGTAACGTAAGGACATTACAATCTAATAAGAAGGAAAGCCAAACTAATAAAAAAAAACCCTGTTACACTGCAACATCTCCAAAGATGAAATCTAAGTCTGGTAAGATACAATAATTTACTCACCAGGGTTCCAAAACGTTTCACCAATAAATCAAAGGCATTACAAATAATTCCTGTAACCAAATAAACAAAGATTTAAAACAACTAGTCTCCATAAGCCAAGTACGAAACACGTGGCGAATTAAAACTTACCAAACAAGCAAACTAATATTTCCAATAAAAAAACTCGTTTCCTTAACAAGACTGGCCAACAATAAAAAGGGAATTAGTCCTCTGATTATAACAAATGGAGACGGATTACATCCGACTTTCAAAAAAAATGGCCAACAGGCCTTACATCTTCGTAAGTTGACTTCGACCTCGCCAAAAGCTAAAGAGACAAAAAAATAGTATGGCCCGAGCAATAGAGTGCAAACAACTCAAATCGAATGAAACGTCCATAGATTATATAATTCCATAGACCGAATCGATAACACAGTCATTCAAATAGGCTGAAAAGAATCTCGACTCTGACGCCATCTCTCTGAGCCTTACTGAAACGTCAGAAACTTCAACTGTCAAACTAAAAACACGTCGATAATTAAATTTTCTGTAATGGTGCGAAATGCACCGTTACAATCTCAAACACCCTTCCTTCAAACAGCCAGATACCAAAGTGACCATCAAATGTTGCCAGAGCTAAAGTTCCGTTTCGCCCTAGAATGCGACAAAAAATGTTGACAGAACAAGAAGTAAAAAACGACAATTGAATGAACCAAATAGTCGATTGAAACAGACTAACAATTAATGATAATAATATAATTTATTTACTGGCTCACTAAAACGTCAGAAAATTCCGTCTCTCAAAGCAACGTACAGAGTAACAACACATCGATTATTCACTTTTTTGTAGGGGTGCGAAATGCACCGTTACAATATAAATGAGGAATAACGTTGGTCCTAGTATGCTGCCTTGCGGAAAGCCATAGCAGCTATTTTTTACCTCAGAACTCGCACACTGTCCGATTTTGACAGATTGATAGCAGTCACTAAGATAATCAGTAAATAGCTGAAGTTGTGCTTTTTCTGGGCTCTAGTCATAACATTAATTATTTTCTCATTAAAATATTTTAGGTCATCGGAGGTTATTGAAATCCTAGATAGTGCATCTGCTACAATATTGTCTTTTCCTTTAATATAAATAACGTCGAAATTATATTCTTCTAATATTAACCTAAATTTTAACAGTCTACTTGATGGATCCTTCATTCCAAATAGATATAATAAAGGTTTGTGGTCTGTCATAATCCTAAACTTTTTACCGAAGAGATATGGTCTTAAGTATTTTACTCCCCAGACAATCGCAACCAATTCCTTTTGTATGGTTGGATAGTTTTTTTCAGCCTTATTTAAGGGCCGGCTTGCGTAAACGACAGGTCGCATATTTTTGTTACAAAGTACTGCGCCTATAGCAATGCCCGAAGCATCAGTTTGTAGAATGAATTCATTGTTATCTGAAAAATCTGGGTATGCTAAAACAGGGGCTGACACAGAAGCTTTTTTCAAAATTTGAAATGAATTTTCACAGTAATTGGACCAAATGAAAGGAACGTTTTTACGACATAATTCATTCAAGGGAATTGTAATTTCTGCAAAATTTTTGATAAATTTTCTATAATAGTTACAAAATGCAACAAAGCGTTTTACTTCATCCGTGTTTTTTGGAGTAGGGTAATTTTTGACAACTATAATTTTATTTTCATCTGGTTTTATTCCTTCTGATGATATAGTGTGTCCTAAATATAACAACTCTTTCTTTAAAAAGTTACATTTGCACGGGTTTAATTTTAGATTAACTTTTCTAAGCCTCTCGAAAACATCAATTAGGTTTTTATTGTGATTTTGGAAATTTCGTCCGAAAATTAATGGTCATCGCGATATATAAAACACTTGCCATATGTAAGACCCGACATTGCAATATTCATGACTCTTGAAAAAGAACTTGGACTGGTTTTCAGTCCCATTGGCATACGTTTCATTTGATATTGCCCGGAATTAGTTGTGAACGCTGTAAATTTCTTAACTCAGAGTTCAAGGCCACTTGATAGTAAGATTGACTAAGATCTAAATGAGTGAAGTAAACAGCACCAGAAAGAGACTCTAAAATATCAGTTATGTTTGGTAACGGGAATTTGTCATCTAGTATAACATCATTTAATTTACGGTAATCGACCACTAATCTCCATTGTTTGTTATCACCGTTTGTCTTTTTAGGTACTAGTAAAATAGGGCTAGACCATTCACTTTGAGCTTCCTCTATAATTTCATCCTGTAGCGTTTGTCTAATTTGTCTATCTATTTCAGGTTTTTGACTATTTGGTAATCGATATGGTTTTGTATAAACGGGACTAGCATTCGGTTTTAAATAAATATTATGTTCATATAATGTAGTGGTTGTTAGCTTATCACCCGGTAAGTAAAACATATCATTATACTTAGAACAAAAACTTTCCATCGTCCCACGCTCACTAGGTGGTAAATGATCCAATTGTAATAATGATAGTAAAATATTAGCTCGATCTGCGTTTGATTTACATTTATTAAAATGACATATCTGATATTCATGTAATGAATGTAATTCTGGTTGAAAAGTAGGTATAGAAATCGATTCCTCACTAGTATTTAGTATCCTTATGGGAATAATATTATTTACTGGTTTCACTATTAGAGCTGCTAAAAATAATTCTTCTTGTAAGTGTTTTGGCAATACAACGCAATCATGATTAAATTTGTTGTTTTTTAATGGTATGTAATGAATCGATTCACTTCTGGCAGGAATTGTCAAGTAATTATAAGATATGTTAGGTGACGAATAACGTTGTATAATATCTTCGCGTAGTATACTGCGAAGAATTAAATTGTCATTTTCTAAATCAATTTGTGAATTAAAACTCGACAAGAAATCTAATCCGATAATTCCATCTGACTTACAAGGTAAGTCATTAAACAAATAAAATTTATGATGAAAAGAACTACCATTTGGAATACGCAATGTAAGGTAAACATAACCCTACGAATAAAGCATACCACCGATGCCATTTATTACAACATTATCCTTATGCAATGGTATATACCCAGTTAATACCTTCTTAGTAACTGCCGAAATAGACGCGCCAGTGTCAAGTAACCATGAACAGGTTTTTCTATTAACATTAAAATGTACGTATCTCACATTATTATTATAAGTTAAAATATTATAGCATTTAAGATCGAAGAAACTGATTTTTATTTACCGATTTTTCGTTCCCCGTTTGGGAATCGTCACATACTTGAGCTGAAAACATTTTATGTTTATTATATTGACCTCGAGTACCTCTACCAAGATAAAATCTAGTATTATAATTACTTCTAAAGCTAGGAGAAAAATTACCTCTTCCACGAGAGTATTTACCACGAGAGATTACCATTGAACTGTAGTTGCTGATAACTATTATTATATCTTCGACTTGCATTAATATTACCACGGTAATTAGAACCCTCACTATAATAATAATATTGACCTCCTCTGCTAAATTTATTATTAAATCTATTGGTTAACTTACCCCTTGCGCTGAAGATGACACCAGAAGTTGAGGGTTGTGCAAGTTCCTCGTCCTCAGCAGCACGCACCGCATCCTTTAGCTCCGAGTAGTTTCGGGAATGAAATAATAGTGCCTAGACGCTTATATTTTAAACCATCACAAAATTTTTTGATTGCGAAATTCTCATTAATAGGTCTTAATATCTCACACGCCTTTTCATCGCCGTTAGATTGTGCAATAGTAAGATCTAAAAATAAGTCAGCTAATTTATTGCCAAATTCACCAATAGACAAATTATTTTGTCGCAAGCTTTGCATCTGACATAGAATAGAATTAGCAGATTTTTTAGTAAGTAAATAAGTTTTCATATCCTTAACTAGGCTCGCAACGTCATCATAATCGCACTTTAATTTCAATTTAGCGGTTTTAGTAAGTCTTATTTTTAAAACAAAAGAAATTAACCTTTTTATTCGATCACCTTCCTTCAGACAATCGTTGTATAATTTTACAGAGTCAATTATTTTTTCAGTTGTCTCTTCCGAACCATCCATCACAGGGATCAAAGATGTAGCGGTTTGAATTTCAAATTTCTCCATCTTTGAAAAATCCTTATAGTCTATACTCTTAAAACTATATGATAAAATTTTATTATAAACTAAATCTATTTCTTTCAATACTTCGTAAATATACTTAGTTAATTCTAATGACCTTTTCTGTTCAGCAAAAAGGTTAAGTATATTTTTATACGTAGAATATAATTCTTTAGCTTTCAATATTTTTTCATTAACCTTGTTTGTATATTGTAACCTTCTGTATGGACCTAACTTTCTTAGATAAATCTGAATATCCAGTTAAAATAACTTCTAATTCCCTTTCCATGAAATGTAAAATAAGACATACGTTAACATGTAGTAGTTAACTAAATGATTACTTCATGCCCAAACTTTATCTACTGTGACATTCCGATCTGTAGGGGAAAATATTAAAAAAATTCCGATCTGTAGGGGAAAATATTATAAAAATAAACACTATGTATATAAAACTAAAGTACGACATTACAACTTACAAATAGGCATTACAACAGTATAATAATCCATCCAATGTTTTTACTCTATATTACCTCAAATATAACACTACATACTAACTGCGTTTGAAAGCTTAAAGTTCTTATTATAATTTTCTGATTTTTAATAGGTTCACTCACGACGAACTAACATACGGGGTACTTATTCTGATAAAAGATTTAAAGGTTAAAATTAATTGGGGCACACTTACATTTTAATGTTAATAGATTGGTGACGCACTTAGTAGAAATATCACTCACACGTTTTTATTTTCTTCCTCACGTTCTCGTGCTAATTGCTAAGGCTGACGCCAGTAATATATTTTTTGTGTGGATGTGAGACTCCACCACCGTATTAGAACCTTCCGACGCATTTTGGGAAATGGTCTCGTCCTTGTCCTCTGTTTTGGAGTACGACTTGCCCATTATTCAGGCGTTGTATAACACATGTGACGCTCACCGAAGGTAAAGGCATACTCGTAAACTCGTTTTATAACTCTAATATTTAAAAGAGTCTAACTTTGTGCAGCGAGGCACACTGGAATCCGCTGAATTGCGAGATTCGCCCGCTATCCGATACCCGGCAACTAGGTACTTAGAGGCAGGGTCGCCATGAAGTGTGCGGGTTGCGGGAAGACGGTAATAAAATACGTGTGTACAAATGTAATTCTTATACTCAAATTAGTACTGTCATTAATGTAATCTGTTTACCTTGCTAATACAAATGAAAAGTAAAATATTTTTAAAAAGTCACATAAAGACTGTTAAATAAATAAAGAATTAAGGGTAGTTATCATAACGACCTACTCCCATAATAAAAATAACACCCCTTAGAGCCTACAGTATCCGTTATGACAACGCTGACAAAATTAATACAACAAAAAAACGTACCAAATGACTCTGGCTCTGTCCGTTTGAAATTAGGGCATAATTAACTCTTATAAAGCTCACTCGTGCTCCCACGTGGTTGTAGTGGCGGGGTAAGTAATCCAAGCTTCCTGGTTCCGGTCCCAAGCAGATATGTTAATGGGCTACAGCCAAAGGGCTTTTCCTGCCATTAGAGGTACTTAGGAAAGGAAATCCACTCTCCGAAGCAAACTAAATCCTTGGATCGGGCAGGTAGTGAGGTAAAAACTAAGGACATTATAATATAATAAGAAGGAAAGCCAAACTAATAAAATAATTAAAATTGAGGTAAAGAAAAAAAACCGTGTTTGACACTGCAACAACGAAAATTATAGGTTATTTGCCAATCTCCAAAGATGAAATCTAAGTCTGGTAAGATACAATAATTTACTCACCAGGGTTCCAAAACGTTTCACAAATAAATCAGAGGCATTACTAATAATTCCTGTGACCAAATAAACAAAGATTTAAAACAACTAGTCTCTATAAGCCAAGTACGAAACACGTGGCGAATTAAAACTTACCAAAAAAGCAAACTAATATTTCCAATAAAAAACTCGTTTCCTTAACAAGACTGGCCAACAATAAAAGGTGAATTAATCCTCTGATCACAACAAAAGGATTACATTTTTAAAAATTATAATAGTTCAAACCCTCGTAATTCAAACAGCCAGATGCCAAAAGTGATCCTATCATCTTGCCAGAGCTCCGTTTCCAGAACAAGAAAAAACTAAAATCGAAAGTATACCATAGTCGATTAGAACAGACTAACAAATCTCGTCCGTGACGCCGTCTCTTGGAGCTTACTGAAACGTCAGAAAATTCAACTGTTAAACCAAAAACACTTCGATAATTAACTTTTCTGTAATGGTGCGCAATGCACCGTTACATTAACCAGGTATGACATCATTTATTTAATTGTGATATTTCCTATTTACACATTTTGTATTTCTAATTATAGTAACCATTTTTTTCAGAATGCAGCACCATCAACTGTAGCAGGACTGCAAAAGTCAAGAGTACCATTTTCACGAATTGAAAATATTCCAGTGTCACCCATTTTGGTTAAACCAACAAATATATTGTCACCCCTAAAACGACCCACTGACCCAATACAGCCATCTAAATCCCAATTAAAATCCCAGTGAAACCCTAATTAAACAATAACTCATATGTGATGTGTTATAAGATTTCTAGAAATGCAACTGATGCATTGTATATACCATATGCAGAATATGTACAATCATTATCAGATTTCATTATTGATACAGACAGGTTCAGAATAGACCGAAATGTCTTGTGAAACAGCAGCAGAATGATTCGTTATGTCGAAGCGTGCCACGCCGTCAGTGCGCGCCGACCCTAAGGGTCTCATAACAAAAAACATATTGTTTTGTGATTGCAGAATGCACCAGAAGAAATGTTACCTTCAAAATCCACATCAACAAAGAATGTCCAGAGTCAAGTTTTGCCATACCATGATGAGTCACACTTGACTAAATCAGCTTCCAAGAAATGCAATAGTATCTTGAGTGCCATCAATGTGTTTAAAGTTAGTGAATTGACTTCTACAGAAGTTAAGTTATACAATATTTGCAAAAAAAAGCTAAGGGAAATAACGTAGTGGCACCAATGATCGACACTTTAAGGAGATAGTGGGCTTCTTTATAAAATTAAAGGTCATTTAGTCATCTTTAAACCAAAAGTAACGATTGAGTACGGTAAGGTATATTCTTGAGATAAGAATAGGATGTATTATTTTTGTTAACTATACACGGACTAGAAAAAAATCCCAAAAAAGGAAAAAGTGTATAAATCTCCAATCGTCGACACCGAATCTCCAGTAATCAACAACTAGTCATCGACAGTTACCAGTTACCGACAAACAGTTATCGACTATTACCTATAATGTGTATCTGCCAAATCACCACTCCCTTAGTGGGTCATTAAAATAAAATTAACTGTTTAATATGTATTCATTTATTGTCCACAGTACAATGTCCATATTTTTCTTTCTAAAGTGTATTTATCATACACATACACACTTTTGTAACTATAATAAAAAAGGTCAATATAAGTAACAAACAATTGTCAAAAAGTTTAAATTGCAAAAATCAACAATATTTACAGTAAAGTTATTCTTACTTAACGAATTATTAAATATTTATTAGTAATCAAATCACTCTTTCAGTTCGTAATCAAATATCTATTTGGAAACAATATTTCCTAACCAGTTTCGTAATAATTATGAATTATTATAACTATATAACAATCAGTCATACCTAGTAGTAACTATTTCTGCAGTCTATCTTAAATTGTAGTAGGTAAATTCAATCAAAAACATAACAGACAACGTAAATGAGATCTTTTTTCAATTTCTAAGTAGCTTTTGCGCATATACCTAGCTACCTATTTTTGTAGTAAATATTATTTAGTTAGTTTTTATTAATTATAAGAGATCCTTTTATAAAGATTAACTACCTAAGTACCTATTATATGAGATCTGTTTTAAAAGCCATACATATTTGGCAAATATTTATCCATTTCTGGAATTCTATAAAACCCTCTCTTGTTTAAACATATAGGTTCCCTTATCACTTCCATTATTTCCTTGGGCTTATAGAAAATTTTATCGGGTGGGTTAGGCCATTTAAAAGAATTTCCAGTAGTCAATGTCATTGTGCTTATTTCGTACTCGTTCTTTCTCAAGGTTTCTATCTTACCAGGAAAATGTAGAGTATGAAGGGGAGTACCCTTCATACTTAATTATTACGAAATTTCCTATCGAAAACTTCCTGTTTTTATTTGGTTTAGTTGCTTTTGAAGATGCAATTTTACTTAAGGGCAAATTTTCTAAATCCGAGTCTATAAAATCACAGTCTATTTCATTCTTTGTTTTTGTTATTTTTTCTCTTTCTGGTTCTTTCTCTTCGTCATCTTCTAAGTTATAACTAATATCACTTTCAGCGTATGAAATCTCCACATCTGACTCTTCTGAAGTCGAATCTTCTTGAACAGTTTTCTTAATCTTGCTTTTAATGTTCTTTTCATTGGTTAACTGTTCTTTTAATTTATTTTTTTCTATTCTCTGTCTAGCTCTTTCGTCTTTTTCTTGCTGTTTTTTATTTTTCTCAGTTTCCTTTTTCTCGTGATATTCTTTCCAAGCTTTACTAGTTACTGTTGATGGAATTTTCTCTCGTTTCATTCTCTTCTTATTACTATCCATCCAATTTTCCGGCCAAAACAAACTCCTCTTAAAAGGAGATGGGACAATCACTCCCAAAACTTTTTCCAAAGACTTTTGTGGTGTTGTGTACTGCGCTTCCATAGTAATGATAGATTGTTGAGATAGGTTATTGCCTATTGGGGTGCTAGGCTAGAAAACCTCCCCGTGGTGCACCCTGGAAACGCTGGCGATGGTACTGTTTCCTCCTTGTCCTCTTGGAGGAGAGGATTATCGCCAGCGGCTAATATTCTAGCAGAAGAGGTAGCCGTTCATCGGCTCTCGGGCAAGGCCTGGTCCAGCAGGGTGGGCGTGTCTGCCGGTTGCCCTGCTGGCTCTTCGCTCTTCGGAGCATGGAGGAGGAAACCTCGGTAAAAAACCGGATGGCGGGGCCCTGTAGGGGCCACAGTTTCTCCGCTGACAGCGGTGGAGAAAGGAGGACGGGCTCGGCGTGTACTGACACTACCACCGAGCAGGCAGGGGGACGTAGTCTCCCTGTCAACCGTCGGCATATCGTAATCCCGAGAAGAGCGCTGTGGTTAAGTCTCGCGGCTCTGATCGGGGGCGAGGGTCTTGGCTTAACCGCCCGGACCGCGAGGAAGATAACCTCTCTAAAAAATTCCCCGAATCCCGTGTTCTGGTGCGTGGCCAGGGGATGCATGGCTGATGGGAAGTTCAGTCTCGAGCGCACTCCAAGCCGAGGTACCTGCGGACCCCTCGGTTGGGTTAAAAACTTACGCTTGCCCGGGTAATGGGGGATCTCTGCCCGGGTGGACCTTTAGTTCTCCCCCACTCGTGGGATTTATTATGGATGATTTCAATTTAAACCAAACAAAACGATCGGAAACAAACACACAACAGAAAAAGGCAAGCCTAACGGAAACGAAGAAAACGAAGGGAAGGAAGGAGAAGCAGAACAGAGGAGTGGATGGGTCGTCCACTGAGGGCGAGACGGTGTCGGGAATGCCTATCTCGGTGGGGCTCCCAGAAGTCAGTCTGACGCTGGTCTCTGGGAGCCGAAGAGCATCAGATCGGCTGCGTTCAGGATCCGCCGTTTCGTCGGATGGTGCGGAGGCCATGGAAGCGGAACATCGCAGCGACAGCCGGAAACGCGGACGCTCAGGGGACGAGGAAACCGACACGTCCGCAGAGATGATGCCACCAAAGGTGGCAAGCAGCCGTCGAGGGAGGCAACGTAAACCGGCCTCGGCCTCGGTCTCGACCCCGTCAGGCTCCGCGTTCTCAAACGCGGAGTCGTACAGAAGTGTACGGGTAGACGGCGAGGCCGTAGCAGAGGAGGAGATCGCGGATCTCCTGCTCAAGGTTCGGGAGCCGGTGGGGGGAAATGCCCCCCAGGCTCCCGTGTCCGTGCAGGAGAGGGCGAAAGCGGCGGTGGCCGTCATCCACAAGGTGGCCACCAAGTCCGTGAACCTTAAGGGCTCATTTGTGAGGGCCCTCAAGGACTCCTCCTCCGCTTTGTCGGAGGTCGTGGAGGGCCTAGTGGGCGACGTCTCTCGCCTGCAGGTGGCCAACGAGAGGCTGACGGAGCGGGTGAACGAGCTGAGCGCTCAGTTCGCCCGCTTCCAGGCGAACCTCCCCGAGCGGGAAGCCCCGTCCGCGTCCCAGCCTGCCCCTACCACCAACTCAGGGGCATTTGACTCCCAACTGCTTGAAATCCTCATCGCAGTTGGGAATATGCTGGACGGACGCCTGGCTGGCCTGGAGGCGAGACTGCCCCCTGCGCCGATTGTGCGCCCCCCGCTCGCGTCGGCACAGCGGCCTAAGGCCGCCGCTCCGACCGCGCTCCCCGTGGTGGGAGACCGCGTTTCTTACGCGGCGGCGGCGTCTGCCCCTATTCCATCGGCTCCCCAAAAGCCGAGGAGGGGGGCCAAGGCACCGGCCCAGGCGCCGGCCAAGGCACCGTCCCAGGCGCCGGCCAAGGCGCAGGCCAAAGTGCCGGCCAAGACGGGGCCTAAAACGGCGCCGAGGAGCGGAGTGGCATTCCCTCCGCTCCCCACTCCGACACCCCTGCCGGGCCCCTCCGCACCTGCCCCCTCCAACGAGGGTTGGCAGGAGGCGAGGGGCTCCAAGAAGTCCCGAAGGCGGGCCAGAAGGGCTGCCCAAAAAGCAGCCCAAGCCCAGCCTTCGCCACCGGTGGCAACGGCCTCTGCAAAGAGGCCGCGGAAGCTGCAGCCGCCCAAAACCGCGGCTGTAGTGGTGACCGTGTCCCCGGAGGCGGCTGACGGCGGGCTGTCCTACGCGGCCGTTTTTAAAAAGGCCCGGGACAGCCTCGCCAACGATTTTGGGACGGTGGGGGTCAAAATGCGCCTCGCCCAAACGGGAGCTCGAGTTCTCGAGTTCCCAGGGGCTGAAGGCGCCAAGACGGCGGACACTTTCGCTGAGAGGCTGCGGAGTTTATTCGCGACCACAGATGGTGTCAAGATCGCCAAGCCTACCAAGTGCGCGGAGCTGCGCATCTCGGGCCTGGACGACTCTGTGACGGCCGAAGATGTCCGCGCTGTGATCCGGGAGAAGACGGGGTGCAGCGCGGACAACGTCAGGGTCGGCACCATCCGCCCCGGTCCAGGGGGGCTTGGCGACGTGTGGGTCAGCTGTCCCGTAGCGTCGGCCAAAGTATTGGCTGACGCCGGCAGGCTGCTCATCGGTTTCGTGAGCGCTAGGATCACAGTCCTGGCGGCGAGACCGATGAGGTGTTACATATGCCTAGCATCGGGGCACACGCGCGTCAAGTGCCAAAGCTGCTTCGACTGCAGCGGACTATGTTTCCGCTGTGGTCGACCGGGGCATGTGGTGGTGGAATGCTCTGCCGCTCCTCACTGCCCGGTGTGTGCGGCGGGTAACAAGCCCGCCAATCACCAGATGGGGCAGGGGGGCTGCAAGCCTCCCCGCAACTCTCAGCAAGCATCGGGGGCTAGCCAGTCGACCCAGGCTGCCTCCGATGTAGTTCGTGCGTCGACGTCGTGGCCCATGGAGGAGGCTGTAGAGACGATCCAGTAATGGATCGGGTCTCCAGCCTCCTGGTCCAGACGAACCTGAACCACTGTGCCGCGGCGCAGGATCTCTTCCTGCAAACCATGGCACAGTGGTCGATAGGTGTTGCCGTAGTCGCGGAGCCCTATTCTGTCCCTCCCCGTCCAAACTGGATGGGTGACTGGGACGGCTCCGTGGCAGTCGTCGGTTCCACGACGGCTCATTCCCCGCCCTTGTCGCTAAGAGACAAGGGCACTGGATATGTTGCCGTCGAGTGGGGGGGGATCACCATATATGGTGTTTATTTCTCCCCCAACCGGAGTTTGAACGACTTCGAGGTTTTCCTAACCAGCTTGGAGACCTCGATACGGCGACTAGCGTCTGGGCACGTCCTTGTGCTGGGGGACTTCAACGCAAAGTCCATTGCGTGGGGTTCCCCCAGGACGGACGCAAGGGGCGAGGCCGTAGAGGAGTGGGCGGCCTCGGTGGGCCTCTGTCTTCTCAACAGAGGCTCCACCAACACGTGCGTGCGACAGCAGGGGGGGTCGATAGTGGACCTTTCGTTCGCTACCCCTGCCCTCGCCGCACGAGTAAGGAACTGGCGTGTCCTGGAAGAGGTTGAGACGCTCTCGGATCATCTGTATATCCGATTTGAGCTCTCGGACCCAGGACTCCAGTAGGGGTCACGTGGCGCGGCGTTTATCCCACTTTCCGCGGTGGGCTGTTGCCAGACTGAACCATAATTCACTCGTGGCTGTCTCCTCAGGCTCCGACCGAGGAGGTCGACGTGGGGGCTGGTCGCTTTCGCGATGCGATTACGCATATCTGCGATGCGGCCATGCCCCGCATTCGAGGTCGTCGGCCTCCAAGGAAGGAGGTCTACTGGTGGTCCCAGGAGCTGGCGGACCTCCGTGCGGCCTGTACACGTGCCCGGAGGTCCTACACGCGCAGTCGGCGGCGTCACCGTGGAGACGGTGAGGAGGACCGGCTTCATGAGGAGTACCGACAGGCGCGGAAAACTCTGAAGCTGGCCAAAGAAGAAAAGAGACAGGAGATGCTGGAGGGTCTTAATCGTGACCCCTGGGGTCGCCCTTACCGCGCGGTGCGACAAAAGCTCCGCGCGTCGGCCCCCCCCCTTACGGAGACTCTCCAGCCCAGCTTCCTGCGAGAAGTGGTTGAGGGCCTTTTCCCGCAACGAGCGGAACACACTCCCCCGGCGATGGCCTCCTTGGCCGGAGACGACGGGGAGCACGGGGAGGATAATGTTCCGCCCGTCCGGGCTTCGGAGGTAGGGGCGGCTGTTCTACGGATCCGTTCCAAGAACACCGCCGCTGGGCCAGACGGGGTACCGGCCCGAGTGCTGGCCCTGGCCCTCAACCACATGGCAGACCGCCTCGGGGAGGTGTTCGACGCTAGCTTGGCGTCGGGACGCTTCCCTGAGTGCTGGAAGAGCGGGAAGCTGGTCCTATTAAGGAAGCCGGGACGGCCTGCCGATTCGGTCGCGGCCTATAGGCCCATCGTGCTGCTGGACGAGGCGGGTAAATTGTTTGAGAGGGTTCTTTCTGCCCGCATCGTCCGGCACCTCTGCGAGCTGGGCCCCGATCTGTCGGACGCCCAATTTGGTTTTCGGGCGGGGCGTTCGACAGTCGACGCCGTGTTGCGCCTGAGGGCCGTGACCGAAGAGGCCGTGAGCTGTGGCGGCGTGCTGTTGGCGGTGTCATTAGACATCGCCAACGCATTCAATAGTCTGCCATTCAGCTGCATCAGGGAAGCACTCCACTATCATGGGGTGCCAAAGTACCTGAGGCGGCTAGTGGCAGACTATTTAGAGGAGCGTACCGTCGTGTACGAGGACCGAGAAGGTAATCTGAGGTGTCGGCCCATGTCGTGCGGTGTTCCACAGGGGTCTGTTCTTGGACCCCTCTTGTGGAACATAGGGTACGACTGGGCCCTTCGCGCCGATTTCCCCCCCGGGCTGGGTGTAATCTGTTACGCAGACGATACCCTGGTGACAGCCCGGGGGGCAAACTTCCAAGAGGCGGCGCGCCTGGCCACAGGGGGAGTCTCCCTGGTGGTCGGGCGCATTGAGGCGCTGGGCTTACGGATGGCCCTAGATAAGACGGAGGCCCTGTTATTTCATGGGCCCCGTCGTGGTCCACCCCCTGGCGCCTCAATCGTGGTCAACTCGGTCCTCGTACCGGTTCGGGCCCAGATGAAATATCTGGGCCTGATCCTCGACGGGAGGTGGCTCTTCGACGAGCACTTCCGACAGCTTGCTCCAAAGCTGGTCGGCGCTGCGTCTGCCCTAGGGCGACTTTTGCCCAATATGGGTGGACCCAGCGTCGCGACAAGACGGCTGTACACGGGGGTTGTCCGGTCAATGACACTGTACGGTGCACCGGTGTGGGCGGCGGCTCTGACCGCCCAGAATAGGGTACGCCTCTGGCGCCCTCAGAGGGTAATGGCGGTCAGAGCCATACGCGGTTACCGGTTAGTTTATCGGCGAGTGGCTGACTCCCGGGCGGAGAGCGGATTTCGCCCTCCGCCCGAGGATGTGCGCGAGTGGCGCGAAGCCGCTCGCCGAGCCACGATGGCTCGTTGGTCGTTCCGGCTGGAGACTCCACGCGCTGGCTTCGCCGCCGTGGAGGCTCTCCAGCCGGTCGTCGCCGAGTGGGCAGGGCGGCAGCACGGGACCCTTTCCTTCCGGCTGACGCAGGTGCTTTCCGGGCACGGTTGCTTCGGAAAGTACCTGCACTCGGTCGCTAGGAGGGAACTGAGTCCCGCCTGCCACCACTGCGACTGCAGTGAGGACTCGGCCCAGCACACGCTGGCGGTCTGCTCCGCATGGGCGGCGCAGCGCCGGGCCCTCACCGCAGTCATCAGAGTGGATCTCTCGCTGCCGGCCGTAGTACGCTCCATGGCCGGTAGCGACAGTTGTTTTACCGCGGTCGCAACCTTCTGCGAGGTAGTAATCTCGCGAAAGGAGGCGGCGGAGAGGGCCCGGGAGGACGACCTCCACTCGGCCCGATCCGCCGCCGGCGAACCGGGCGGCGGAGGCCCGCCTATCACAGCCTCATGCCGCCCTGAGTGTGGCCGCGGGTGGACACACCGTGTGGTTTTAGTCGGTCCGAGTCCGACACACCACCCCGCCGCAAACCCCGGAGGGGTGACGGTCCGAGGGGATTTCCACACGTTAAAAAAAATAAAAATAAAAGGTTATTGCCTATTACTTCAGGGAAACTAGATGAAGATGAAGGATTCGGTGGTGGAAGTGCCTGATCGAGTAATGTATTAACTGTGGAGTTATTATCAGGTTGTTGCTTTTGAGAATCTCCTGTTACTTCAGCTGAACTGATGAGTGAAGTAAGTTCCGGTATTAAAACAGGTTGGTTACAGTATCAGTCTTGGGGCTATTGTTAGGTTGTTGCATTAGAGGATCTTTAGATAAATCAGTTGGTAAAGAACGTTCCGGCGGTGGAAGCGGTTTGGTAACAGCATCATGCCTGACGTTTCATCATCAGTGGTGACTGTTTTTGCTATAGGCAAATTGTGAGTCACGCCAATGTTATCATCTACTGACTTCTTCGAGATATGTGCTGCTGAATCAGTTTCTATTAAGTCATTGGAGTTGCTATCTTTTGGTGGATTTTCCGTCCGCATGCTGTTGAAGTGCATTTCTTCAGTTTCTGTAGGCACAGAGTCACCGGCATCTGATGGTATAACTATTGCTTCATCGGTTACAACAACATCGTTCGTTTGAGCAGTGGTTACATCATTTGACGGATACCTCGTCTGTTCCAATGTGTCTGACGTTGTTGGAGCATCCGCCGAACTTGAATGGCACAACGCGTCTTCAGATTTGTTTTTGGCCCAAATTAAATATAAAGCCTCGTCTTCATCAGGGATTTCTCTTTCCAGTGTCTTTCTATTTTCAAAGTATAATTTATTGAATTGCTGTAACTTTTGAGCTGAGAACACGTTTACGATTTCACGTTCTAAGTACTTCATAAATTCTTTCTGCATTGGATTGGTTATAGTTGTGGTTTCTATTTCGGTTTTAGATATTTTAGACATATCAATGTAATCAGGGCCAAATGGAAAAAGGCCCCCCGCTCGGAATCCGTTTTGAACACAATCTTTAGTTACATTTGTGAGAGCTTTTTACAACACTGGGGCAAAGTTCTCTCAAGGCACATATCATCTGCATACATAAACACTCGACACCTCTTTACCATTTGGGTATGAAATATGCTATCGCTCGGCTAGTCCCAAAAGACCTGAATTTTCTCCAAAAACTCAATCGCACGAGAGTCGCTGAATTCGTAGTCAATTCCAATCCAACATTCATGAAACGCATTGTTACTGGTGACGAGACGTGGGTTTACGAGTTTGACATGCAAACTAGTCAACAAGCTTCGGAGTGGCGCCTTCCAACTAAACCGAAACCGAAAAAACCACGCCAAAGTCGATCAAAAGTCAAAGTCATGTTGACTGTTTTCTTTGACTATCGCGGTGTTGTGCACTCGGAATTTTTGCCGGAAGGTCAAACGGTAAATAAAGAATATTATTTCAGCATTATGCGGCATTTAAGAGAGCAAATTCGACGAAAAAGGCCAGATTTGTGGAAAGAAAATTCTTGTATTTTGCACCACGATAATGCGCCTTCGCACAAGGCCATCATTGTGGACGAATTTTTGACCAACACAACAAATACCATTGAGCAACCACCATATTCACCAGATATGGCTCCAGCCGACTTCTTTCTTTTTCCTAAACTCAAATTACCACTTCGTGGCACCCGTTTTCAATCGGTAGAAGACATAAAGGTGAATTCGCGGCGAGAACTGAACTTAATTCCGGAAACAGCTTTTAAAAAATGTTTTGATGATTGGATTATTCGTCCGCGTAAGTGTATCGTTTCTGAAGGAGCATACTTTGAAGGTAATAAACAAAAATTGGATGAATAACAACCATTTTGTGTATTATTGATCTTTTCCCGGTACTTTCTTGACAGAGTAGTATAATTATTGACTTTCAATTTTAATGTTTGTTACCTAAATGAATAAATTCTTCCTGATCCTCATTTTGTCATATCTCTTTATTTTCATGCACATTCGAGCAAGCAACTCGCCAGGATAATAAAGGAAAAATAATAATCAAATGTTTTCATTTCAGCAATGCAACCTGTTTCTGATAAAGACAAGATCTACAAATCTAAGCAGAAATCCATTTCAAGTAAATTATTTCCTAAAATTATACTCAAAGTTATATTTTATGATATATAGTATATATCGTAGATAGTTAGATAGGTAAGATAATTACAGCCATAATGAGGGCGCGGGTCTTAATTTTTTTTGAGGATTTGTAAACGAGATCCAGAAATGTTGCTTTTACATTATACTTTGTACATTATATTTTTATATATATATTGTATATTTTTATATATATTGTACATTATAATTTGTACTTTAACACAAAAATGCATACTTGTAGGTTCCGTTTCTCATTGCGCTCTGACATCACAAGTCAGTGTTGCCAACTCCTCTTGTCGTCTTCAGTGTTGTGTGTAATTAATACTTGGTAGATTGATTATTTGGTAGATCGGCCTCAACATCTTCCCCCCCTTCTCGAAGTCATTGGATCTTCGAGCTGTAGCCGTCGAAGCTTCTAACGGGCAGAGGTTGTGCACCGCTCTGCGGATGACGCCCCTTGAGGTAAAAAGATCTGCTACTCTGGCAGTTTTATCGGTGCCGGGATAAAGTTTCTGGATACGTGCCATTCGCCATTTCAGAGGAGAGGTGTTAACTTCCATTATCACGACCAAGTCGCCTTCCTGGAATCCCCGTTGTTGTATTTTCCAAGCAAAAAACTCGCGATTAGACCAACATTGGGATGCCTACACGCAGGCCCGACAACAATATAAGAAGAGAATCAGAACCAGGAAAACTGAGTGCTGGAGAAACTTCTGTACTAACATAGAGAACAACAACCAGGCTAATAGAGTCAAAAGCATACTGTGTAGTAGAGGCGAACACAATCTTGGCTCACTGAAGAAGCCTGATGGTGAGTATACCAAAACAGACTCGGAAGCCTCAGAGCTGTTATTAAAAACACACTTCCCTGGATGTCGTATATCAGATGCGATGGAAAAATGGGAAGACAGATGGGAAAAACCACCAGACGATACAGACTGGGATACGGCCCGCAAAGTTGTCAACCATGACAAACTAAGATGGGCAATTGACAGCTTCCTACCATTCAAGGCGCCAGGACTAGATGGTGTCTTCCCAGGCCTACTGAGACGGTGTGATATGACACTACTGGACCATCTTTTAAAAATCTATAGGGGCTGCCTGGCGCATCAGTACATCCCCTTGAAATGGAGAGAAGTTAAAGTAGTCTTCATCCCCAAACCTGGTAAAGGTGACTACACACAACCCAAATCACACCGACCTATCAGTCTCACATCCTTCCTACTAAAGGTTCTCGAGAGGCTAATAGATAGGGAAATCAGGGAAACTGCATTAGTCAGTCACCCTCTACACCTCAATCAACACGCATACTCGATGGGTAAATCAACAGAATCTGCCCTACATCGAGTTGTTTCATATATAGAAGACAATCTAAATCACAAAAGGTCAACACTGGCCACCTTTATCGATATCGAGGGAGCCTTTGACAAGACCGACTTCACCAGCATTAGCCAAGCTCTGTCTAGGCATGGTGTTGATTCCACAATCTCAGGGTGGATCGACAGCATGCTAAGATATAGAGCTATACAATTCACTGTGAGAGAAGTGACCAGAGGAGTGGTGGCTAGAGGCTGCCCCCAGGGCGGTGTACTCTCCCCCCTTCTATGGAACATTGTTGTGGATGAGCTCATCACACAACTTAATGACCAAAGATTCCTCACAATAGGCTATGCAGACGATCTTACTATTCTCATCAGCGGTCCTTTTGAGAGCAGCAAGGTGCAAGTCTCATTTGATCGCATGTGATATGCGATCAAATGAGACTTGCACTGAAGATCGTGGAACAATGGTGCGTAGCACACAACCTAACAGTGAACCCATCCAAAACAGAGATGATCATGTTCACAAACAAACGCAGCCTAGGAAATCTCAGACTTCCCAAGCTATTTGGAACACAACTTACTCTTACCAAAGAGGTCAAATACCTAGGAGTAATACTGGACAGTAAACTCCTGTGGAACAAGCACCTCGATGAAAAACTGAATAAAGCCTGCATTATTTTCTGCCAATGCAAGCGGCTACTCGGCAAAAGCTGGGGACTATCATCCAAAATCACTTTATGGCTATACAGGACAGTCATAAGACCAATAATCACTTACGGTGCTGTTGTCTGGTGGCAGAGAACAGAGCTAAGCACCGTGATAAACAAACTGCAGCAATTCCAGCGACTCCCATGCTCCGCGGTCACTGGCTGTATGCGCACAACGCCTACTGCCGCACTGGAGGTGGCTCTTGGTCTGCCACCCCTGGATCTATTCATACAGCAGGAGGCCGCCATGGCGATCATTAGACTCAAACACCTGGGTCTATGGCACAAACGTGAGGGATCGCACTCTAAGTTATGGGATCAATTGGTGGAATACGAACCACTGATAGCAGCTCCATGCGATAGAATCCCAAAACACCATATCTTCACAAGAAGATACTACATCCAGATACATGGAAATGACCGAGATCAATCCGGCATTAACGAAGTTCGAATTTACACGGACGGTTCCAAGACTAGGTCAGGAACTGGAGCCGGAGTTTTCTCGCAAGACCTAAATATAAACATATCACTAGCGTTAGGCCAACACAGTTCCATATTTCAATGTGAATGTGTGGCAATAACTTACGCTGCCACAACGGCCATGTCAAGGGGTATCAAGAACTACAACATCCGAATAATATCCGACAGCATGGCCGTCTTAAAGGCATTGGAGGGCAACACAATGACCTCTGGTATTGTCTTCGAATGCCACCAAGCACTGGAACAGCTCGCTATATTCAATGGGGTAATCCTCCAATGGATTAAAGGGCACAGTAACTCACACGGGAACGATGCCGCAGATGAGTTGGCAAGGAGGGGCTCGGCAACCCCAACCTCTGGCCCAACTCTACTCCTGCCCATATCGTTTAACCAAATATGATGCTGGGTCAGGCAACGGACCTGTGAAGCACACAACCGGAGGTGGAAAAACTCACCCGGCTGCAGACAGTCCAAACTGGTGCTGAATCAAGTCACACCACGACTCACCTGCAGACTGATCAGTCTTAGCAGACCGGAAATCAGAATGGTCGTCGGAACTATTACAGGACATCTAGCCCTGAACCGACAACTATTCATAATCAATGCGACAGACAGTCCCCTGTGCAGGGGATGTCTGGAAGCTGAAGAAACGGCCGTCCACGTAGTCCTGGAATGCGAGGGAGTAGCCACACAACGGGCAAGTATCATTCCTTATATAAAGTCGCTCCTAGAAGCCTGTGAACGCCCCAGGAGGCTTCTGCGCTTCTGGAAGGAGCTTGGCTGGCTCACCTAGTCAACCAATCCTCGACGCATAAAGGACCACTCTGAGTCTAAATGCGGAAACCGAAGCCCACAACCAATGTATTTTCCATTTGGATCTTTATTGTGTAAGGTTAATAAGCCAAGATCTTTGTAAAATATTGTCTAGAACTAATATTTACAACCAAACTTAACATTATGATATTTACTCATTTTAATTTGGTGGCATTGAAATGAGTAAATATCAAAACACTAGTTATTAATAATATTATGGCTAAATATTTAATCGACTAATCAATTGTATCGAATCAGTGTCAATTACTTTGATGGCAACACTCGGATAATGTATTGAATGTTCGAAACGGGATAAAAGTGGGGCATTCATTTCTCGACGGTAGAACCATACAGTTGTGACAAGAATAAATCCGATGAAATCCAATTAATCAGCGTTTAATTGAGAGATTAAGACAGGATCCCTTTATCTCAGAAGTGGGATAAGTCAACTACGCCTACAATTATGAAGAAATACAACTAAAAGAAAAAGAAAAAAAGGGACACCTCGCGGTATTGTCGTGTACGAAAGTTGCTGGTTACATCTGAACATAAAATGGATAAAACTAGCGTTTATTCAAAGGGCAATGAGCGGAAGCGCCGTCGTGGCCGGAGTAGGGAAACAAGAACAAGCGCTACACATAAGCGGAAGCAGCGAATGCAGCGATCGAGCGATCGTGATGTTTCGTTGGAACCTCTTCGTAGGGGGAGTCACATTCCCCGTGAGCAGCCTACGAGACGACGTGACAAGTATCGCAGTCGAAGTAGCAGCTATGAGCAGCCGCGGCAACATCGTTCCAGCCGAGGCGTGGATGAGAGATGTAGCAGGCGAGACCGTAGCAGAAGCTCAGAATACAGGTCAGAGCGACAAACACCTCCACTTCCTGGTCGCGTGAGTACCCCCAATGTTTTTAATAGTGACACGCAAGCATTTTTTGCAACTTTAGTGGAAGCTTTAGCTAATAGTCGACCTCAGAGTAACAAATTTCCCATACTAGGCAACGTGATTCCAGATTTTGAACCTATGGCTAAGAGTCAGACCATAGCTATGTGGATCAATAAAGTTGAGGAATGTGCGAAGCTCTATGGTTGGGGAGACGACCAGATTATTACGTTATGCCTAAACTGTCAGGGATTGCAAAATCCTGGTACCAGGCCCTTCCATCTATGTCGTATTCTTGGTCCGAGTGGAAGGTCAAACTGGAGCAATCATTTCCAAGTTGTGATGACTATGCCGAGTTACTCACCGAGATGTTGTCAAAGCGTGTAAAATTTAACGACTCTTTAGAACATTATTATTATGAAAAAAATTATCTATTAAATCGATGTGAAATACATGGTAAACGTGCCGTAGATTATCTACTTTATGGTATTGAGGATCGGTCATTGAGGTTAGGCGCAAAGGCAGCTAAATGTCAAGAGCCAGAACAGGTTCTCAGATATTTCCAATCATTCAAACAACAACCTTGTGAGCCAGATAGATCGAAGTTCAACTATGATAAGCGTACTAACATTACCTCCTCATTATCCAGTAATAATGTTAGGCAGACGGCTAATGGCAGTGAAACTAAGACTTTGAAGTTACATAATAATGCGTCAATCGTATGCTTTAATTGCAATGAACCTGGACATTACAGTTCTAAATGCACTAAAAAGACATTGAAATGTAATATCTGTTCTAAATATGGTCACTTATCAGTTAACTGTCCCAGATTACCTTCTGACCAGGCTAATAAAATTAATGAACCGAAAGAGAAGATGGTGATGTGCATTGAAACAAATAATTTTAATGACAATAAATATTTAATGAATTTGAAACTGAACGATGAGGTTGTTCGAGGTTATGTGGATTTGGGTAGTCAGTGCACGCTAATTCGTCACAGTGAGGCTGTTGCGAGGGGAATCTCGTGGACTGATAGCAATTTACCGACCATGAGGGGTATAGGTGAGAGTATCGTAGTACCATTAGGAGTAGCAAACGTTATTGTAGAAATTCAAGGTATCGTGGAGGAGGTTAGGGCGTACGTTGTTAATGATAGTGTCATTAAATATTCAGTTCTAATCGGACACAGTTTCACAGAGAAACCAGGTATAGTTATAACAAAAACTACACGTTCGTTTATTTTTACTCGTGATAATGCCGTTAAATTACAATTAAGTTTGAAAAATGATATTATACTACCCCCTAAGGAAATGTACCCGTTACCGTGTATTACTACAAACAAATATTCGGGTGTAGTTCACGTTAGGGGCTCATTACGCGGCATGCCACAAAACGAATATTATTTACACGGTCCTTTGATCAGGGAATGATACGGCTAAAGGAGGTACTTCAACTCATAAAAGACGCAGGTCTTACACTTAAAATAAAAAAATGTAGTTTCTTCTGTTCTGAGCTGGAGTTCCTAGAATTTCATGTAAGCGGTGAGGGGACACGCCCAGGAAAGCGCAAAACCTTGGCAATAGAAAACTTCCCAGTTCCGCGAAACGTACATGATGTCAAACGATTTATCGGCCTAACTAGCTTCCGGAGGTGCCGTCTTTAATTTAGTCGTAACAGAAAAACAAACAGGGAAAGGGGAAAGGGGCTATATAACAATTATTACCTAA